TGTCTGTGAGTGAGTGAGTGAGTGTGTTTGTGTGTGTGTGTCTGTCAGTGAGTGAGTGAGTGAGTGAGTGTGTGTGTGTGTGTCTTTGTGTGAGTGAGTGTGTCTGTGAGTGAGTGAGTGAGTGTGTTTGTGTGTGTGTGTCTGTCAGTGAGTGAGTGAGTGAGTGAGTGTGTGTGGGGGGGGGGGATGTATTGACAATAAACCTGGCTTTTGTAAAATTGAAACATTTAGTTTATTAGTACTATTACAGAAATCTGACCCATTTCGTTCCTGACAAATCTAAATCACATTCAGTTTATTATTCTTATTAATCTTATTTTAATTAGTTAGGTTTAAACCAAAATAATTTTAACCCAAATGAACAGAAGTTTAATTTGCAATTCAAATCGTAATTTTAGGTCTATTTATTTGTTTGTTTGTTTTTGTTTGTGTGCAGGTTCATATAAAGAGTTCAGTCAAATCAGTTTACATTACTTTTTTCATTTTTTCTAGATATTATATTAGCCATTATAAACATACAAAAACAAACATTGGGCAACTGATAACAGAATTAGAGTGTAAACAAACTATATTAGTAGGCAAAGCAGAAAGAGTCCATGTTTGTTTGTTTGTTTGTGTTTAACACCATGCCAGCTTCTGTGGCTATTTTCAAGGCAAGAAAAATGTATAACAAATTATTAGGTTTTTAAAATTTATTTTTTGCTAAAAACGCTAAAACTGTATCTAACTTAACTCTTAAAAAATCTCTTCAAAAGAGTTAACTGAAAAAAGTTCTCTCACATGGTTAAAAAGAGCACAATCTAATCAAACATGCTTCAGAAATAAAGGGGTTTGGAGGATAAAAGAGTCCATGTGGAATCTTGTGTATGAACAGCTGTATAAAATCACTAAATCTCAAAATCATGCTGTGGTTCATGAGTTATTTGATGAGCCGTGGCCTCGAGCAAATGAATCTCAGCCAGCATATTCATACGGGTTTAGAGCGACGAAAGCAGGTGAAAGATATCAACATTCATTTTCAGATGAACTGGTCCTCTCTGCATGTGCATCAGCAGATGGCGCTCTGACTCCGACAGCTTCTTGGGAACCTAAAGATGATGCAGAGCTTTTTCTTGGTAAGAGCCAATCACAATCGAGCAGCCGATCACATGATGCCAACCTCAGCCAGTAAGAACAAAGACAACAAGACCTCATGCGTGTCAATTCATTATAGTGTGTTCATGTTCCCCCAGTCCAAAGAATTAAACGCTAAACTTCAGTAACACTAGTATTTCCAGCAGCTAAAAAATGAGTCTGTCTCAGTTTGTTCTGTTTCTTCATGTGACTCCAGACAGACTGATGATGATCAGATCAGATCTCTGTGTGCAGCACAAAAATCTCACTGCATTATTACAATTAATGGCTAAATGAATGTTTGGAAATGCAAACTGATATTTCCAACTGACACACTACAGCAAAAGATAGAAACAACTGACTTTGAACCGTTTTTTAGCTGCTGGAAATATTAGTGTTCTAATCATTTAACATAAACATGATGCCGCAGAAGGAAAGACTAAACCCTGCCTCTGCACTGATCTGACTCCGCAGGACATGCAAGACAAGAAAGAACAGCTTGCTGCAGTGAAAGTGAAGTGAATCAGGACTCACGTCAAACTTGTGTGTGATCTGTCCGCTGCTGCTGTACGTCTCTCTGAAGCAGTCGCTGAAGGGCAGCAGGAGGCCCATGGCCAGGATCCTGGAGCACAGCTTCTCGGCCTCCTCTGGCTCTCTGGAGTCCTGCTGCTGGAAGAAGCGCTCCAACAGCGTCCGGCCTGAGAAACAGCAGACTCAGTCAGTCACGTTACTCTGTGCAAACACTGACGGAACCAGGTCGTCATAATCAGGGATGCACAGAAATAAACTCTTGGCTGAAGGCGAAACGGAACAAAATGAAACACTGGGAATGAAACAATACCAAACACTGTTTTTCAATTTTTTTTTCACCATTGCATAAATTAAATAGCCAAAATGTGCTTTTTACTGTTTTATCTTGCTTTTCAAAGAAAAAAATCAATTACAAAATAACTATTTATGGTCCCACTTTATATTAAGTGGCCTTAACTACTATGTACTTACATTTTAATTAATCATTTGGTACAATGCACTTATTGTGTACATGCATGTTTTTACATTGTACTTATATTTTAAAAATACCTGCATGTAATTACATCTGCAATTAATTTCTGTACTTACAATTAAAATTACACTGTTGACCCATCCCTTACACCTACCCAGACCACCAAGCCTGTCCCCAGTGGTGTAATGTAACGAAGTAATAATACTTCGTTACAGTACTTAAGTATTTTTTGGGAGTATCTGTACTTTACTTGAGTTTTTATATTTCAGCCAACTTTTACTTTTATGCCACTACATTTCCTAATTAAAATGTATACTTTTACTCCGATACATTTCCCCGAAGCATATTCGTTACTTACAGATCAGAGCCAGTGGCGGAGCCAGGATGTTTTATAGGGGTGGCCAGAGAGAGGCCAGCAACCAGTCTGGGGTGGCACAGAAATCTTCATTATTTCAATATAAAAATGTGTTTGACTATAATGTACTGGACTGTTTTAGTGCCTAAAACACAACTGAGTACAATTCATGTCTAAATCCCGGTAAGGAGAAATAGTTGCTGAGCTAGAACACCGCTATTCTAAGATAGCTATGTCCTAAAGGTCTTATGAAGGCTTGTAGACCAGAATAACCATACACAGATAGCCTAGATAGCCAGATCTAGATTTAGACTTTTAAAAATAGAATAAACTTTAAATGAAAAAAACAACAACACTTCAGATAGTTGCCAAGGCAACATTTCTTTTAATTTAGTTAGACTTGACTAAACGTACTAAAGTAACTGAAAAAAAATTAATAAAATATATAGCGAGACACACAAAAACCAAATAGATTTTATTAATTTCATTTCATTATCAGTTATTTTAGTACATCAAGTCTATATCTATATCCATCCCTTCATACTACAAAAAGACAACAAAAATACAACAATTTAAGACAGAGAGTGCGTGTGTGTGTGTGTGTATGTGTGTGTTTGCATGAGTGCGAGTGTGTGTGACAGTGTGTGTGTGAGTGTGACAGTGTCGTGAGTGTGAGTGTGTCAGTGTGTGTGTGAGTGCGTGTGTGTGAGCGTGTGTGTGCGTGAGTGCGAGTGTGTGAGTGTGTGTGTGAGTGTGTGTGTGTGAGCGTGAGTGCGAGTGTGTGTGAGCGTGTGTGCGCGTGAGTGTGAGTGTGTCAGTGTGTGTGTGAGTGCGTGTGTGTGAGCGTGTGTGCGAGTGTGTGTGAGCGTGTGTGCGCGTGAGTGTGAGTGTGTCAGTGTGTGTGTGAGTGCGTGTGTGTGAGCGTGTGTGCGAGTGTGTGTGAGCGTGTGTGCGCGTGAGTGTGAGTGTGTCAGTGTGTGTGTGAGTGCGTGTGTGTGAGCGTGTGTGCGAGTGTGTGTGAGCGTGTGTGCGCGTGAGTGTGAGTGTGTCAGTGTGTGTGTGAGTGCGTGTGTGTGAGCGTGTGTGCGAGTGTGTGTGAGCGTGTGTGCGCGTGAGTGTGAGTGTGTCAGTGTGTGTGTGAGTGCGTGTGTGTGAGCGTGTGTGCGAGTGTGTGTGAGCGTGTGTGCGCGTGAGTGTGAGTGTGTCAGTGTGTGTGTGAGTGCGTGTGTGTGAGCGTGTGTGCGAGTGTGTGTGAGCGTGTGTGCGCGTGAGTGTGAGTGTGTCAGTGTGTGTGTGAGTGCGTGTGTGTGAGCGTGTGTGCGAGTGTGTGTGAGCGTGTGTGCGCGTGAGTGTGAGTGTGTCAGTGTGTGTGTGAGTGCGTGTGTGTGAGCGTGTGTGCGAGTGTGTGTGAGCGTGTGTGCGCGTGAGTGTGAGTGTGTCAGTGTGTGTGTGAGTGCGTGTGTGTGAGCGTGTGTGCGAGTGTGTGTGAGCGTGTGTGCGCGTGAGTGTGAGTGTGTCAGTGTGTGTGTGAGTGCGTGTGTGTGAGCGTGTGTGCGAGTGTGTGTGAGCGTGTGTGCGCGTGAGTGTGAGTGTGTCAGTGTGTGTGTGAGTGCGTGTGTGTGAGCGTGTGTGCGAGTGTGTGTGAGCGTGTGTGCGCGTGAGTGTGAGTGTGTCAGTGTGTGTGTGAGTGCGTGTGTGTGAGCGTGTGTGCGAGTGTGTGTGAGCGTGTGTGCGCGTGAGTGTGAGTGTGTCAGTGTGTGTGTGAGTGCGTGTGTGTGAGCGTGTGTGCGAGTGTGTGTGAGCGTGTGTGCGCGTGAGTGTGAGTGTGTCAGTGTGTGTGTGAGTGCGTGTGTGTGAGCGTGTGTGCGAGTGTGTGTGAGCGTGTGTGCGCGTGAGTGTGAGTGTGTCAGTGTGTGTGTGAGTGCGTGTGTGTGAGCGTGTGTGCGAGTGTGTGTGAGCGTGTGTGCGCGTGAGTGTGAGTGTGTCAGTGTGTGTGTGAGTGCGTGTGTGTGAGCGTGTGTGCGAGTGTGTGTGAGCGTGTGTGCGCGTGAGTGTGAGTGTGTCAGTGTGTGTGTGAGTGCGTGTGTGTGAGCGTGTGTGCGAGTGTGTGTGAGCGTGTGTGCGCGTGAGTGTGAGTGTGTCAGTGTGTGTGTGAGTGCGTGTGTGTGAGCGTGTGTGCGAGTGTGTGTGAGCGTGTGTGCGCGTGAGTGTGAGTGTGTCAGTGTGTGTGTGAGTGCGTGTGTGTGAGCGTGTGTGCGAGTGTGTGTGAGCGTGTGTGCGCGTGAGTGTGAGTGTGTCAGTGTGTGTGTGAGTGCGTGTGTGTGAGCGTGTGTGCGAGTGTGTGTGAGCGTGTGTGCGCGTGAGTGTGAGTGTGTCAGTGTGTGTGTGAGTGCGTGTGTGTGAGCGTGTGTGCGAGTGTGTGTGAGCGTGTGTGCGCGTGAGTGTGAGTGTGTCAGTGTGTGTGTGAGTGCGTGTGTGTGAGCGTGTGTGCGAGTGTGTGTGAGCGTGTGTGCGCGTGAGTGTGAGTGTGTCAGTGTGTGTGTGAGTGCGTGTGTGTGAGCGTGTGTGCGAGTGTGTGTGAGCGTGTGTGCGCGTGAGTGTGAGTGTGTCAGTGTGTGTGTGAGTGCGTGTGTGTGAGCGTGTGTGCGAGTGTGTGTGAGCGTGTGTGCGCGTGAGTGTGAGTGTGTCAGTGTGTGTGTGAGTGCGTGTGTGTGAGCGTGTGTGCGAGTGTGTGTGAGCGTGTGTGCGCGTGAGTGTGAGTGTGTCAGTGTGTGTGTGAGTGCGTGTGTGTGAGCGTGTGTGCGAGTGTGTGTGAGCGTGTGTGCGCGTGAGTGTGAGTGTGTCAGTGTGTGTGTGAGTGCGTGTGTGTGAGCGTGTGTGCGAGTGTGTGTGAGCGTGTGTGCGCGTGAGTGTGAGTGTGTCAGTGTGTGTGTGAGTGCGTGTGTGTGAGCGTGTGTGCGAGTGTGTGTGAGCGTGTGTGCGCGTGAGTGTGAGTGTGTCAGTGTGTGTGTGAGTGCGTGTGTGTGAGCGTGTGTGCGAGTGTGTGTGAGCGTGTGTGCGCGTGAGTGTGAGTGTGTCAGTGTGTGTGTGAGTGCGTGTGTGTGAGCGTGTGTGCGAGTGTGTGTGAGCGTGTGTGCGCGTGAGTGTGAGTGTGTCAGTGTGTGTGTGAGTGCGTGTGTGTGAGCGTGTGTGCGAGTGTGTGTGAGCGTGTGTGCGCGTGAGTGTGAGTGTGTCAGTGTGTGTGTGAGTGCGTGTGTGTGAGCGTGTGTGCGAGTGTGTGTGAGCGTGTGTGCGCGTGAGTGTGAGTGTGTCAGTGTGTGTGTGAGTGCGTGTGTGTGAGCGTGTGTGCGAGTGTGTGTGAGCGTGTGTGCGCGTGAGTGTGAGTGTGTCAGTGTGTGTGTGAGTGCGTGTGTGTGAGCGTGTGTGCGAGTGTGTGTGAGCGTGTGTGCGCGTGAGTGTGAGTGTGTCAGTGTGTGTGTGAGTGCGTGTGTGTGAGCGTGTGTGCGAGTGTGTGTGAGCGTGTGTGCGCGTGAGTGTGAGTGTGTCAGTGTGTGTGTGAGTGCGTGTGTGTGAGCGTGTGTGCGAGTGTGTGTGAGCGTGTGTGCGCGTGAGTGTGAGTGTGTCAGTGTGTGTGTGAGTGCGTGTGTGTGAGCGTGTGTGCGAGTGTGTGTGAGCGTGTGTGCGCGTGAGTGTGAGTGTGTCAGTGTGTGTGTGAGTGCGTGTGTGTGAGCGTGTGTGCGAGTGTGTGTGAGCGTGTGTGCGCGTGAGTGTGAGTGTGTCAGTGTGTGTGTGAGTGCGTGTGTGTGAGCGTGTGTGCGAGTGTGTGTGAGCGTGTGTGCGCGTGAGTGTGAGTGTGTCAGTGTGTGTGTGAGTGCGTGTGTGTGAGCGTGTGTGCGAGTGTGTGTGAGCGTGTGTGCGCGTGAGTGTGAGTGTGTCAGTGTGTGTGTGAGTGCGTGTGTGTGAGCGTGTGTGTGCGTGAGTGCGAGTGTGTGAGTGTGTGTGTGAGTGTGTGTGTGTGTGTGTGTGAGAGTGAGTGTGTGTGAGTGTGTGAGAGTGAGTGTGTGTGAGTGAGAGTGAGTGAGTGTGCGTGAGAGTGAGTGAGTGAGTGAGTGAGTGAGTGAGTGAG